TACTATTGTGCTATAAAAAATGATGAGCAGGCAGACTTCAGAAAAACCTGGAAAGACTAGTATGAACTGATGCTGAGTGAAATGAGCAGAACAAGGAGAACATTGTGCAATGACTAACTCTGATAGACTTAGCCCTTTTCAGCAATGCAAGGATCTAAGACATCTCCAAAAGTCTCAAGATGGAAAATGCTATCCATATCCAAAGAAAGAACTACGGAGTTTGAATGCAGATTGAAGCATACTGTTTGCCATTTCTTCTTCTGTTTTGTTTTGTTTCCTCTTTCTTGTGGTTCCTCCTATTGGTTCTAATTCTTCCTTACAACATGACTAATGTGGGGGGAAAAAACTATTTTAATTAGCTCTTTATAACTTTCCATTTTTATTCCAAGAAACTTTAGTAAAAATATCAGGCTGGGGGGAAAAAAATCTAAGAAATAATCACATTTCTACCACTTAGACTGGAACAAGGCTCAAATTTAGAAAAAAAAAACTTATTTAAATATGGATTACAGGACAAGCAAGCCAGTCTACTTGAAGCAGAAAGGCACCCTGAAGGAGAGACAAGTACAAGGATGTGCCAGGCAAGTCAAACACTAAAATCCCTGATGCCCAGGACTCTGAAGAACCCTGAATAAGGCAGTGTCCCAGAAGACTACCTGGGCCACTTCCATCCACGCCCTTTAGCTATCAATCACTGTGGATAAGGGGTCCACCCTAAACTGCTACCAACTGACAGATAAGACAAAGAGCCCAAACTCCCCCTTATCACTGGTCCTGCTTCCTGCCTAGCGTCACTCTCAGCCATCATCTCAGGGATACATAGCCTCGTAATTGCTTTTGCAGGTGCTGAAGTCTCAAACTTCTCAGCAGGCAAAACCTACTGAAGACACAGAAAACAAAGTTCTCAACACCACTTCCAAATGGTTCAACATCAGAAATGGATTTTTTTTTAATTCAGTAGAAATGACTTTTAAAAACATGCATTACCTTCTGCTTTGTTGCTCTACCCCAAGGACCATATCTAACTCAGACCTGTAATCTCTTTATGTGTTCTTTCTCCCTTTAGAATATGAGCTCCTTGACAGCAGGAACTGTCTTGCTTTTCTATTTTTTTTTGTGGGGGGGGGGGAGGCAATTGGAGTTAAGTGACTTGCACAGGGTCACAGAGCTAGTTAAGAGTCAAGTGTCTGAGACTGGATTTGAACTCAGGTCCTCCTGACTCCAGAGCCAGTGTTCTATCTACTGCACCACCTAGCTGCCCCATTGCTTTTCTATTTGTATACCCAGAACTTACCACAATGCTTTGCACATAATAAGCATTTATTAAATATTTTTTATCCATTTATCCATCTTTCTACTGAAACTGCTCTCTCCAAAGTTCTTCTTGACCTCTCTATTCCACATGACACGACTGACCACTTTCTCTTCCTGGATACTCTCCTCTACTTGGCTTTTGTGACTCTTCTCTTAGCTGTCTGACCTCTCCCTTTTCAGTCTCCTTTGCTGGATCTTGTCATATCCACTAACTTTGGGTTCTAACCTAGGTCCTCTCTTCTTTTCTCTTCATCCTCTCTAACTTAGTGATCTAATCAGCTCACACTAATTCAATAAATCATCTTTATGCAGATGATTCCAAGTTCTTCTAGCTCAAGGCTCTTAAGCTCCAGTCCTAAATTATCAACCAACTTCAGCTGGACACTTTGAATGAATATCCAATAGATTTCTCAACTCAACAAGTCCAAAACGTAACTCATTTCCCCCCCAAACCCTCTCCTCTTCCTAACTTTACTATTACTGTCATTCTCCTAGTCTGCCAAGCTCCCAACCTTAGTGTCATCTGTGATTCCACTCTATCACCCCAATATCCAATCTGTTGCCAAATTTTATTGTTTAATCTTCACATTTCTTGTGTAAGGCCCTATCTGTCCTCTGACACTGCCTCCCCTGTAGTACAAGCCCTCATCACCTCATACCTGGAATATTTAAATAGCCTGCGAATGGGTCTGCCTGACTCAAATCTCTCCCTCCTTCAACCCATCTTCAATTCAGTCACCAAAGTGATTTTCCTAAAGTGCCATGGCACCCCCCACTGAATAAATTCCAGAGGCTCCCTATTATTTCCAGGATCAAATACAAAATGTTCTGTATAGCATTCAAAGCCCTTGCTCTCTCCTATATTTCCAATCTTCTTTCACCTTACACTTCACCACTTCTTTGGTACAGTTGACACCGACCCTCCATGTTATTTCATGAACAAGACACTTCATTTTTCAGCTCCAGATATTTTCTCTGGTTGCCCACATCTACAATGTTCTCTCCTCATCTTTGCCTCTTGGCTTCATTAAAATCCTAACTAAAAGTCATCTATTAACTTTTCCTACACCCTCTTAATTCTAGCACCTTCCCTTTCTAAATTCCTAGTTATTCTGTATAGAGTATGTTTGTACATAATTGTTTTCATGTTTTTTCTCCCATTAAACTGTGAACTCTGCGAGGGCATGGACTGTCTTTTGTTTCTTTTTGTATCCTCAGTGCTTAGCACAGTGGCTGGCATATAGTCAGGATTAATAAATGTTCATTAACTGACTATTGGTCTCCCAGCCTCAGGTCTCCTCCACTCAACTGGTAAGTGATTTTCCTTAATGGTAGGTTCAATCACGTCACTCCCCTGTTCAATCGACTCCAGTGGCTGCCTATCACTTCCAGAGTCAAATAAAAAAAAAATCTTCTGATATTTAAATCTCTTCAAAACCTGGCCCTTTACTATCTTTCCAATCTTACAAAAAATTTTTATCCTATGTAAAAGTATTATTATTCTTATTGAGGATCTTTCCAAGCCTAAGCCCTATGAACTTTTGAATTCCTTGGCCCAAAACTTCTCCCTTCTTGGTATTTGACTAACATTTTATTTATACCTTATTGTTATGGGTTTTTTTCCCTTTAAAAATGTTTTTAATTATCAAGGTTTTTTTTTTCTTGTCCATCCCCATTCAGAGAAAAAAATTAACAAAACCCTCACAGCAAATATGCATAGTCATGCAAAACACATTTCTATCCTGGCTATGTCCAAAAATGGTCTCATTCCACATAATAATCCATTCCTCTTATCAGGAAATGGGTAGATAAAATTCATCAGAGTTAAGTCTTTAAAAATTGATCATTTTTACAATGTTGATGTTCTCCTGATTCTTACTTCATTCTGCATCAGTCCATACAAGTCTTCCTAGACATCTCTGAAATAATCTTTCTCCATAGTATTCTATACTACAATTTGTCCAGCTATTCCCAATCAATGGGGAGCCCCTTAGTTTCCAGTTCTTCATTAACACAAAAAGAGCTGCTATAAAACTTTTTTGTACATATTGGACCTGTTCCCCGTTTTTTGATCCCCTTGGGGTACAGACCTCCTAATAGTATTGCTAAGTCAAAGCATGGGCATGGTAGTAACTTTTGGGGTAGAGTTCCAAAGTGCTTTCCAAAATGGTTAGAACAAATTCACAGCTCTACCAACAACCTATCAATATGCCTACAGCCTTTCCAACATCTGTCAATTTCCTTTATAACAACAACAACAACAACAACTGTGCCAAACCAATCAGTCTGTTAGATGGAACGTCAAAGTTGTTTTAATTTTTATTTCCTGTGACTTGCAGCATTTTCCATAAGGTTAAAATAGCTTGGATATCTTCCCTGAGAACTGATCATATCCTCTAACCATTTATCAAATGGAGAATGGCTCCTTTTCTTATAAATTTAATTCAGTTCCTTATATGTCTTAGAGATGAAACCTTTATTCGAGAAACTTGCTATTTTTTTCCCAGTTAAATGTTTCCCTTTTAATCTTAGATGCATTAGATTTGTCTGTGCAAAAACTTTTAAATTTTATGTAATCCAAATTGTCTATTTTGTCTTCTGTGATCCTCTCTATTGCTTGTTTTATCACAAACTTTTCTACTATCCATAGATAAATTTCTTCATGGTTTTCTAATTTGTTTATGATGTGATTTTATATCTAAGTCATGTGAAGCAGGCTGCTCATAAGGTCTTCAAACAAAGACTGCACAACTACTGTTGTGTACCGGTCACTCTTTTTTATTATGGGCTAGAACAAATGGTTGTCAAGGTCCCCTTCAACTCTGAAATTCTGTGATCTAATTTAATTACTCTCATGCAACAACTTGTCCCCAAAAGATAAATGAAATAAGGGGGAGAGAGAAAGACAAGAACTAGGCTAAGCTAAAATTTTTTTTCTATAAATTGTAAACATTTATTAAAGTACATTAAATAGTCAGCTTTCATTTTACATATGAAGAAATTTAGTACAAAGGAAGTGACTTGTCCAAGGTTCAAACTCAGATCCTTTGACTCTAACAATACAGTGCTCTTTCCACTACACTGTGCTTTTTCTAGACAATCTAAGACTTCCTAATGTAAATTAAGAGGTTTAATTTGAATGTACAAACACGTCTTACTATACATGTGCACACAATCATGTATTCAAATTAATATATACTAGTCCACATGTGTGTGCAGCTTGCATATACCTAGTTATTTATATATCGTGTCTCCTATCATGAGCTCCTAAGGGCAAGAACTGCTTTTGCTTATCTTTGTATTTCCAACATTTTAGCACAGTGAAATTTCCTAACAAATGTTTGTTGACCCAGTGACAATATGAGAATGTAAAAAGTTTAGCTTAACATTCCTTCAGAGCACCAAGCAAATGAATAAACACTATGAAGTTGTTTCAGGAACAAAATTTAGAACTGATATAATAGAAATCAAAAACATCTATTTTCTTTGTCTACATAACTATTAATATAAAGTTCAGCAGGTTTCACTACTGTCACTAAACACAGAAATACTACTTTACCTCTGATCCAAAGATACTACAACCAAAATCACAGTATAGTAGAAAGAGACCTGAGTTATGAGTCAAGTGAACTGGTTTTTACTCTTGGCTCCACCACTAACTTGTTATGTAACCACAGACAACTTACTTTGTCTTTCCCAGCCGCATTCCCTCTTGTGTTGAATCTGAGGGACACAGTTTGTGGGGGAAAAGATCCAGGAATTTTGGTGCCCTGCAAGCTCAAAAAGTCAACAATGTAATATGGCAGCTAAATAAAATTTAAATAAATATAAATTTAAGCTGCATTAAAAAAGGAACACCTTCCAGGAATAAAGACATGATAGTAATTCTACTCAATCCTGGTCAGACCCCATCTGTCTATATTATGTTCACACTGGCACCACATTTTAGGAAGAAAGTTGATAAAACTAGAGATTGTCCAGGGGATGGCAACAAGAATGGTGAAATACCTGGTCCAGGTCAAATGAGAAGACTAACTGAAGGAAATGGGATGTTTATCCTGGAGTAGAAAAGACTCAGTGGATATATAACAGCTATTTTCAAGTAGTGGAAGGGTTGTCACAAGAAAGAGGGATTAGCCTTATTTTGCTTGCCGCAATGGGCAGAATTAGGAGCAATGGGTAGAAACTGCAAAGACAGAAAATTTAGGCCCAATGTTAGAAAATAATTCCCAAGCAATTAAAGCCTTCAAAAGTTCTTCAAATAAAAACTATGTGACTATCTGTTTGGTACTGTAGTGGGCGCTTTTTTTTTTTTTTTAAATATGGACTAGACCAAATGGCTGTCAAGGTCCCTTTTAACTCTGAAATTCTACAATCCAATTTATAAATATTCTCATGCAACAACCTGTCCCCAAAGATAAATGAAATATTAAAGAGGGAGGGGAAGAACCAGGCTAAGCTAAAATTTGCATTTCTCTTACAAATTAAAAACATTTATTAAAGTACACTAAATAGGGCAACTACTTGAATATGTTAGTTTTTGAAACATTAAATAATAAACTTTCATTTCTTTCAAGGGATTTTATAATTTAGATTTGCCACTAATTCAGACTAGCGTCTGCCTTCTTCCCCCAAGATTAAGGATTAGAGAGGATTAGTTACCACACTGTGCTTTCAAATCTGTTTCTTCAGACGTGACACACAAAGCACAAGGCTAAGACCGTCCAAAGATGGATCACCACAACCAAGATTAAGAGAATAAGAGGAGACATTTTTCTGTGACTTCCATTCCAGGAAAATCTAGACTCAAGGCTATAGACTTTGTGATGGATAGTTGCGCTGAAGAATCTAACAGGATAAAGATAGGGACTAGACCTTTGATTTCACTGATATAGGGAACCCTTAAATGAAGAAACTCCATCTACCAATGTAGGTCAGTTAGCACTTTCTCTGCAACACATAATCTTAAGAGCTGCCTAGAGAGGTTAAGTAACCTACCCAGGTTTACTGTTAAGAGGCAGGACTGGACTCTGAGACAAACTCTTTAATTTCTATGCCATACTCCCTTCTCAAGCAATCTCATACAGAATGAAATACGAATGTTACTGTTAGTGCTTATTTATTCATTGCCATGGTGAACTTTTGTAGACTTCTACAATTTACTGCCTTTCTCACCAATCACACACCACAGCCAGTATTTCTTTTATTCCGATTTTTCAAGGATCCCTTTCACTGTACCCCAAAAAGTGATAGCACCAGTTTGACTCAGAATAATCAAGGTCAACAGTTAGTTCAGTTCAAGGATACAGATTCCTGCAAGTAAGTGGTCTGTTTAGGCCTACAGACCTTAAATAAGTCTTTGAGAGATCAGTCAAAACCAGACTAGTCTTCAAGGATGAAGAACCCAATGTAATTTATCTCCTATGCAAACTAATCAATCCCTAGGTCTTTTCTACCAAACTCTAAAAATGTGCACAAGGTTGTTCTTTTATTCTATTTTAGGAAATGACTCCATGAAAATAAGTTTATAGGTCATCAAAGTTTAGAATACATTAGATTTAGCAAACATTAGATGTCGGTTGAGTTCATCTCTTTTCAAACACTGATGGCTCATGAAACAACTCAGGAGGCAGACAACTAACCTACAAAGCCTTACCTTCGAACCAACAAATTCCTTCCTTTGGTACTTTTCGAAGGTTTTGTAGGTTGTGTTATTTCTACAGTATAAAAGTAGTGTGAAAGTATAGCTAACGAATTAAACAGATATGAATAACATACAAATTTGTTTTCTTCTCACAAATTTCATTTTGTGACTGAGTTTCAATACAAAAATATTTTTATAAAATTTCAAATGGCTAACAGGAGAGCTGCAGAATTTATGTGCCTGTGCCAACAGCTCTCTATAAAAATTATTTTTATTTAAAAAATTATTTTTAGGGAGTTACTGAGCTGAAAACCAAGGCACATTGAGGAATACAGATAATTTCGCCAAAAAAGGATTTGGGTTTCAAATCCTGCTTTTAATGTTTACTGCCAGTGTGACCTTGGGCAAGTCACTTAATCTCCACAGACATTAGTTTCCTCATCTGTACCCTAAATGGACTCTGAGGTCCCTTCCAGCTCTAGGTTTATGATCCTATAACTATATATAACCTTTGACTTGTCTTCCATATATACTTACCACCCTTTAGTACATTTTGAACATCTAAGAAAGGTGGATCTGTGAAGTTTCACTTACTAAAAGTGGGGAAGAATACCCTACAAGAGGGAAAACGTAGCAGGGTAACTGGTCAGGCTAGCTCCCGGTACACCCTTCAGTCACTGACTACACCCAATTTCACAATAACTCCAAACCTGGCCAAAAAATTTCAAGTGACCAAGTGATTCTTCTAATTTATCAGAGGAAAAAGTGAGTGGGTGAAATTTAATACTGAGAAGGGATTAAAAAATTAGGAAACTTTTACAAGCTTTAGGAAACAGTTTTCACAGTAAGATTATGCCTGCTGTATCAGGGAGATAACACCAACATATATATATGTATGTATGTATATAAAACCCCAATACTGAGCTATTTCAGCTTAAAACACACAAACATTTCAACACAGTTATTCAGGGTTCTCTGCTCCCCACCAAAAAAACCATCAAATTGCTTAGGTTTTGTGAACAGTAGAGCCACAGAACTTGAGAGACTCAAGTTCTGAATTGAGTATGAACTTAACTTCATAAAACTATGAAAAATGCCCACTTTCTTTGTAATCTGACATATACATGAAATTACAAAAATTTCCATAAAACTTTGACAAGTAGAAGAAATGCAATTTTTAGAAGCACTCTATTACAAAGGATGATGATGTCTAACCATATTTTTCCCCATTCTCATTCCCCAATTCCTATCCTATGAAATTTCTATCTTCCTCAGTTTCACAATACTACCACATTTGCTGTCAAGTTAACCTGAAGAAAGTTAATATTCTATTCAATATTTAAAACCCTACTAAATAGGAGGCAAAAATTATTCTTCCTTTAGTCAAACAGTAGAATTTGATGTTTGCTAAAAATCTTTCAGTATCTCATTATTTTCCATTAATTACAGTGCTTGACGAAAGAAAGAAAACCATATTTACATCCCACTTGGTAATTAACCCAGCTCAGTGTTTTCAGCACCCAAAAGAGTGGCTAGGAGAAGTATAGTTCCAAGCAACTCAGCAAATTCTTGCTTTTATGAAGAGTAAGGTACTGTTCCCCAGAGAACTAACAATATCAAAATCTTTGGGCTGCAAACCCCAGAAGTTATATGAAACTTTCTATGTGAAAGAATGTTTTAACTTGTTTTGAATACTGGATAAAACTTGACACTGAAAAAGATGGTAGGAATAATTTGTTGATATCGCTGGACATTTTTATGGAGGAAGGTGGAAGTGAGAAATTTAAAGGGATCAGCTCTTCAAGGAGCCAAGCGCCCACTTCTGAAGATTTCTTTTAAGCCTATAAATAACCAGAGATGATTCTAAGCAGTCACTCAAACACAAAAGCTTTTCCCTCAATCTCTGAATTTATAAAGTTAGAAAAACTAAAATGTTTCGCCATGAGTATATTGAATGGCAGTTGAGTAAACAATTCCATTAGCAAAATATAAGAACATTTTAGGCAATTTAACACTAAAAACAAACATTTGGGGAGGGGGAGTCTACCCATAGACTTGGAATCTGTAAAATATAACTCAATTTTCCTTTGAACATTTTAAATCGGCTTAAATTTCCCCAAACAGGGTAAAAAGTCACACACACCCTTAACAGAAACAATGTTAACTCTTGCCCTTCACACTGCTCCCACCCAGAAATTCGAAGTTCACATTGCCACCTCTATTCCCCTATAAAAGTCTTTTGTGAAAGAAAGAGCAAAGGAGGCTCTTCTCAAAATCATCTAGCCTATAATCCATCCTTAGAGCCTGAAACACAGCAAAGTGGAAGGAACAAAGCACTGACGTCAATTACTGGAGGAGATTAACCCCCGCGACTAGCAGCAAGTAGACAGCCTAAACATTAATATCCAACTACAGGCAACTGAAGTGTAGTGTGGAAACAGCTATTTGGAGGTGTGGGGGAATGCTTTCACGATTATATGTGGATACCTGGGGGGGAGGGAGGCCTTCAATTACATATTGCAATTACACACCCTTCCCCCCCCCCGAGTGCTATTTTTACAAGATTAATTCATTACAGGTTAAAAAAAAAAAAGAATGGCGGAGGTTGTCTAAGAACCCTAGAGAGAAAACAAAAACTATTGGGGCAAAAAATGCTCTAAATCAGGGCCCATTTTCTCTTTCGCTAAAGAGAACTTGGTCAAACTAGAGACTAGCTGGACGTTTAAAAAATGAGACCCACCAAGCAAGCGACTAGGGGCAAGTGCGGAGATGGAGAAACGCAGAAAGGGGTCTGGGGGGGGGGGGGGGGGGGGGGGGGGGAGGGGACCCCGCGGAGAGGGGCAGCACCAAGCCCACCGCCCCGGCTCCTCCCCCCTCGCTCGCGACGCTCGACGGAGCGGGGCCGGCCAAGGCCTGGGCCCGGGCAGCCCCGCGGTCCGGAGAGCCTCTCACCTCCTATCCCGGCTCCGCTAGGCCCAAACCATGTCCCGGTGACGGTGGCGTTGGCGGTGGCGGCGTCCCGGGCCGCGGGCCTTCGACTCGGCCTGGGCCTCTCACCGAGCACACATCTAGGCCTGGCCCCGAGGGGCCGAGCTGGCGGACGGAGGAGCGGCCCAGAAGGCGAGGAACCAACGACGGCGGCAGCGGCGGCGGCGAGAAGCGAGGCCCAGGAAGCCCCAGAGGCCCTCGGAGGAGGCGACGGTGGCAGCGGCTACGCCTCACAATGTGGAGACAGCGGCTGTTGCCTTGGGGGCCCAGCCCTGCTCCATGGCGGTCAGAGCGAGAGCCTTGGAGACGCAAGCAGGAAGGTGATGGCGGAGGCCGCAGCACCGGAATCCCCACCCCCGCCCCGTCCGGCGGTGGCGGTGGCGGCGGCGGCGGCAGCGGCGGCGGCGGCGGCGAAGGCGGCGAAGACTCTCCTTCCCCGCAGTCGGGAACAGTCACTTACCCTAGCAGCAGCACCGCCCACGTGACCCTCCCACCGGTGCGGGGAGTGGGGGAGAGCAGCCCAGGCTCCGGCCCGGAGGGCTGCGTCACGTGACTCCGCCCCGCCCCTCCGGGATAGGGAGGGGTGGAGGACGAGAGCCTCGAACTACGTGCGGCCCGATCGCCGCGACCCGGGAGCTGCCTCGGCGCCCGCGGGGTGTGCGGCCTTCTCTGCGCTGCGCACGGCCCTCTGCCTGAAGCGCCCGGGGGCGGGGGTGTCTGAGGCCTGAGGGCGGGGCGCTTTGCGCATGTGTAAATTGTAACTTGAAACGTCGTCCGAGCCTGAATGGTCACAGCTTTAGCGGATGGCCAGGGAGGCCTGTCCCTTCGTCGGGCCTTCTTCCTTCTCCCCGCCCTCCTTTCCTTGGGGCGGGTTGTGGGGTACTGACGGGGCCGGCCTGATGGACCTGTTTGTTCTTTGCCTGGAGGGTTGGCATGCCTGGCAGAGAGGCCTTCCTTCGTCACAGGCTTGGCACGAGCGACCGGCGCCTTTGAGAGACCCGGCCTGGCCTCTACCTGAGCCGGGGACCAGGGCGCGGGGCCCGAGCACTGAACCGTGGCCAAGGGGCTACACAGCCCCCCAAAAAAACCTCGAAACGAAATGAGTGCTGTGTTCACTGCTGCCCTGGAGCCCCATGCTTGAACCCACGTCCTTAAACTGGTCTTGAGGAAGACCTGAGTTTAGATTTGGCCTCAGACACTTAACTGGCCCTTTGACCCTGGGCAAATCATATAGCCTCTGTTTTTTCATCTGTAAAATGGGGATAATAAGAGCACCTACTTTCCAGCGTTGTCGTGAGGATCAAGTCATATTTATAAAGGGCTTAGCAAAATGTAAAGCTATAAAAATGGTTGCTGTTGTTTTTAGCTATTATTAAGCTTTCCACTCTTCAATCCTATAGTCATATATACAAAAATAATCAAATATAGAAATCGGTCTTGCATTATTCTTTCAATATTTATTACCACACGATGTATAGAGGGAGGAGAATGTGGTGGATGGAGGATTTTGAACTTCATCACATAATAATTTTCTTTATATCATTTAGGAAATTTTTCCTCCACAGCCAAATTCAGTTCCTCTTACATTTGTCCTTCAGCAGCAAAAGCCTTGGCTGAGGTAAGGAAACAGTAATAAGGTGATAAGAAAAGGGCCATTTTGATGATTAAAAGATGCTCCTAATACTATTGTGCTATAAGAAATGATGAGAGGGTTGGTTTCAGCAAAATCTGGGAACGTATGAATTGGTGATTTAAGTGAGCAGAACTAGAACATTGTTCACAACAACAGCGATATTGTAACGATGATCAACTGTGAAAGACTAAGCTGCTATGATTAAAAGTGATCTAAGTCAATTCCAAAGGACCCATAATGAAAAATGCTATCCCTTCCCTCCAGAGAGAGAACTGATACAGATTGAAGCATATTTTTCACTTTATTTTTCTTGCATTATTTGCAACATAGCTAATATGGAAATATGTTTTGCATGACTGCACATGTATATTGGGTATCATTCTTGTTACCTTCTCAATGGGTGAAGGGAGAAAGAATTGGGAACTCAAAATTTTTAAAAATCGATACTAAAAATAAAGTTTAAAAGCTACACCTAGGGGCAGCTAGGTAGTGCAGGCCCTGAAGTCAGGAGGACCTGAGTTCAAATGCAGCCTCAGACATATGACACTCACTAGTTGTGTGACCCTTGGCAAGTCACTTAACCCCATTGCCTCAAAACACCTACACCTGGAGACCTAAATTTCTTTTTTTATTTTTAATGCTCCTAGACACATGAAATCTATGGATCATAAACCAGAATCTTTTAAATGTCCTATTAAATTAGAAGAGGGATTGACAGGTGGCTAGCCGAAGAGCTCCATTCGTTTAAGAAGAAATTAAGGAAGTCTCCTCTCCCACTCCAGTAGGTTGGATGAATTCACTCTAAGGAACATAAAGGAGGACAGGAAAGGCAGTCATAGAGAGGTTGAGATCAGACCCATTGAAAGGAACAAATATAAATCTATAGTTGTTGTTTTAGCGGACATGTGATTTCACTGGTAACAGGAACTCTAAAAGGAAGAAACTCCCTTTATAAGAAATTCATATCTGCACCTACTCTGTCTTTTATTCTTACAGTTGCCTAGGACAAGGAGAGATTAAATGATACTCAGGATCACAGAGTAACCATTTGAATCTAGGCCTTCCTAACTCCCAAAACTCAATTTCCACTAGCTGTTCATATTAACTAACAAAGGATTCTTTCCTCCTCTATCTTCAGTCATATCTTTTTTTTCTTGCTATACAATTTCTCCAGTCAGCTCCACTGTAACAAAATATTTACTCATTTCATTTACACCTATTATTCAAATTATGGTTCTAGATGATAGAGATATAAAGATAGGCATGGCATACAAGCTCTTTTTCTAAGAGTTTTTCAATCCTGACCTCTCTCTGATTTTCCATTTGCTAATTTAATGGCAGACATTTAAAACATTCTCATTTAAAATCCACACATGTTCCATGTGTCTAGCAGCTTTTAATAACCTAAATAATTTTACCTTATACATTTAATCACCAAATATTTTACCAATCTCTAAAATGTTCATAAATTCACCATTGTCATCATAATTATTCTTTTGATAATAGTGAGCACCAGTAGCCTAAAGGATAGGATTTAATTTTTCTCAAAAAAAAAGATTCTCTTAAAAAGACTATTCATTGTGAATTCCCTCATCTCTCCTACACTGGAGTACAAAAGCCAGATACATTTTCACCTATTCTCTCCTTTGATTTAGTTTCTAAGGAAAAAGTAATCCTGGTCAAAACCAATTCCTTTAACTGTACCTTTAATTCTATCCATTTCTTCTGAGTGCTGGCTCCATGAATCATTTCCTCCATCCCCTACCTATTTAATCTTTCCTTATCTACAGGATCCTTCCCTACTTATAAACATGCCCACATGCTTTTTTTCCAGTTCTTAACTTTTACTCCACCCTCAAGCTACCGTTCCACATTTCTTCTTTAAACTCCTAAGCTCCTAGAGTGAACTACATCCAGCTCCTTACTTCCATTTATTCCTCAACCCAGTTTTGGCTTTTGACCCTACAGTTCTGTTGAAACTGTTCTGTTCTAGGTTACTAATGATTTCTGAAGTGCAAAATCCAATTACATTTTCTCTGTCTTCATCCTCTTTGACTTTGCTGCTGTTTTCTAGCTTTATTTTTTAATTTATAAAATTAATTATGATGACTTTAATAAACATGAACGTTTCCATGTACAAAGAACAGAAAAAAAGGAGTTTATAATTAAACTTTATTTTACACACTTTGATTTTTAGTATATATTAAGTTTTGGGGCATATGGGGTGTTAAGGTAGGACAAGCCCTTCATGTGAGGGCTTGCCAAGCCCTTTTCAGGGCCGCTCATCCACTTTTGGTGTCCACCTTCACCCAGCTCTCACCTGTGGCTCCAAGAAGCTATAGCATGCACAGCAGCCACACCCTGGTAAAACTATCTGAGCAGATGGGCTAAACCAGGTTGAGGGTAACCCACAAGCTTCAAACCCATTGGTGAGTTAGGATATCTACCTTAAGCATGTGAAGACTTCCCCCAGCAGAATGGTTGGTTGAGAACAATTTGTTCCAATGGTCATGAAGGTGGCTGGCAGGCACTGTGGAGTACTTAGAGCTTGGTCAGACATTGAAGATGCCAAGGTCATCCACTGCATCCTAGGCCATCACCAATCATCCTGACTTTTGTCCTGCCACTGGACTTATGTGATTCTGGAAGAGAGAGTGAGGCTGATGACTTTGTGCAACTCTGCCTCACTTGAGTCCAATTCACAAACAAGTCAAGACATTGTCCTCTTCCAAAACAAAGGACAAACAACAGTTTCCACAATGCTTGTCTGTGCCTCTTTCTGAACTTCTTTCTTTTGTGTATTTTTTGTTTCATTAAAAGCCTTTTCTTCCTTTTTTGTTATCATTTATTACTACTCTACTAATTCTAATGTTTCTTATTGTCTCATGGAATCATTAGTTCCATTCTGTTTTTCAAGGAATGCTTATGTAAGATTTTCCACCTTCTCTTATTCTCTTTCTAGTTTTTTCCCTTTGGATCTCATGTTTCCATTCTAATTTTGTTTTTATCTCTTGCTTTATTTTTTCCATTCTTTCTTATAGTACTTACGGCCAACCCAGTTTTTTTCTCAGCATCTTTTCACCTGGGATTACTTCTTAAATTTCTCTTAATCTATCATATTCATTGTGTTTGGCATTTTCTTCTATTTACTCATATTTTCCCAGGAGTAGGTCTTTTCTCAGTGCTTGCAGGCTTCAGGTTAGATTACCTGGGCTTATTCTGTGGTACAAACTCTCTGGAGCAGGAATCAGGTTGGGTAACCCCATTTCATATCTGCCATTTTGGGCCCTGGCTTTGAGAGTCAGGAAGCTCCATATTGCCTCCAGTTCCTTTGGCACTAGTTTCTGGCTGCTGGTAAGGGTGAGCTGGCAGCCAGCTGTTGCTTCTGGTATCACATCTCTTTCTGCAGCTTTCA